TTTCCTAATAAACAATCGTGGTACAAAGCTCAATAAAAATATTAAAAGTAATACAAATATTCCTTAATTTACATATTGGTTTAGAATAAGCAGTACTGTTGTTTTATTTTTATTAGAAATATGTTATTAACTACTATTAAATCGTTATTTAATAAAACAAAGCAGTAAATTAAAGTTAATTTGTTCACACTGATTCACAAATATACGCAAACACAACAGAAATGAATCATTTCATTATATATTATAAAGGAAAGTGGTATAGACAAGAGAAAATTGTAAAAACGATTATTTAATTTTAGTTTCTTAGTTTAAATTAAAACTAATTGCAGTATAATAAAATGTTAGCTGTGTAACGAGTATTTTATAATTGTAATTATTGATTTGTAATTACTTATCATTTTAATGTCTTTCACATCGAATTTTTAGTTACTCATCATTGGGTTAGTCATTCGGGGTTATTAATATGTTCCCATTTGTTCACACATCGTCTGTCTATATTTATCTAATTTGTGCTGTTTCAAGTAATGTTCTGTATTAATCTGCTCATTTATTTTTGTTATTACCGTGCTTGATTAAAACCATCTGGTGTATTCTCTTAGTGAACTAGTTGGTTGTTCATATCCAAAAATGAATGCCATTCTACATACATACATGCAGCTTATTGTGCATATAGCATATTTTACTGAAAAGTGTTAAATTTTACAAATCGTTGAAAGCCCCACAGGCAATGTATATTTCCGATGCCTTATAAAAAAATTTCTAATTGACTCACACTTCAAGAAAGCGCGCCACTACTTTCCTATGATTATAACATACAATTTATTAGAAAATGCTTTATTTTTTTTTTGTCTATCATCAATTAGACAAGTCAATCTCAAATCTGTGCTACTAAATTAAAGCACTTCTTAGAATGAAAGCAACATCAGTTTTTCTTTTTGTAAAATATGTTTTATTTAATATATATTCAACGATTTGCACTTTGGGATATAATATTTTGATTTGAATCTTTTCCCTGAAATTAGCAAAAATTAGCACAAGCTAACATAGACTCGTTAGCTGTACGAAAATAGTATCATTGTAGTCGGAGAAATACCAATGTTTTTAAATCTGATGCTCATAGAGTAGCAGCTGGATTCAATCCACTCGTAATGAGAAGTTGTAGAATTTTGTTGCCACTTTCTGCGACAGGTTTATATCATTAAATAAAGCAAAGTTCTTACTTCAAGGATCTACTTTAAATTAGTTGTGTAGCTTTTTCGACAAAGTTATTCTCCAACCAGAGTTTGCAAAGTGATAGCGGGATACCAGCACTGGGAGCTTCACTGAATAGGTCGCCAGTTCATCTGCCATACAATAATCTGATATATGTATATACAATTGTGGACTTGCACCTATACAAACTCTATGACTATCCTTGATGGGAACTTTCAAAAATGGCTACTTCACTCTTTTTCTTCTTCACCCTGATTAAGAACAAAATCAATCGGCGCGCCAGCTTGCAGCTTCTTTGATTGCTGTTAGTTCAGGCCGGAAAATCAAGGACTGAAAACTAAGGTTGTTGAGGAGTGAGAACTCTCGAGTGTATATCAGGCTACCGACCTTGAGGTCTAAGGGTTCTTGTCGACATAGTTAATTGTTAATATTTTACCTATCGCCGAAGTTCGGCCGGCCATCGTAAGGGCCAACACATGCAAAGCTATTGTGCTTGAACGTCTGGAAAATTTTTTAGAAAACTACCCTACCGACGTCATCGGCTTCTCGCTCACAACCCTGGTAAGAGCAATCTGATTCCAACATGGTTTTCACAAAGTGCAGATCACCATCATGCCACTTAAACACCTAAACACGCTGATAAGCTGCATATGGGAGATTACGGTCCTAAGTCGCTGGTCCTAAGCGCTGATCTCCGAATTATCTCAGTAGCCGCAATACTGCGGTGTCACTACGCGATCAAATCTCAAATCAAAGCAGAATTAAAGAGAGGGTCTTGCAGTGCAGTGCCATGTCCTCAGGGTTTGAAAATGCTGTAATTTTTTTATTTAATTTGCTTTTGCTGTTGGTATCGAAAGCAAAGCAACAGTAATTCAGAAAAAAACAAATGTCTTGGCTCCCGTTTCGCTATGAAATTTCGAAAGCAATTTGTGAAAGCACAAAGACATCACAGTTTGACTATAACTTTGATATGAAGCAGAAATAGAGGATATTATATCTATGTACATATATATGCATGGGCAAATGCCCTAGTCGAATTGGCAGAAATAGAGGCTATTATATGTATGATGATAAGCTTTGCATTGATAGCGTCGTCAATACATGTTCATTATACATATATGTACTTACAGTTGTCCACAAAATAATAGGAGTGCGATATTTTGACCAGTTTT